TAGTATGCCACGTGAATGGCAGTTCTGTGGAGGTTACTGTCTGCTCTCATCCCTTCCAACATATAACAAGGGCAAGGGGAAGTCCAGAAAGAAAAGGGAGCAACCATAGACTGCATGGGAGATGCTGCCAACGTAGCTCAAACCACCAGTGACAGTCTTGACGAATAAATTAATCAGTCACTCAAAAAAAAACAAGAGTGTCCTTTTGTTCTGAGACTCACACACCTTCCTTTTTGCTAAAAATACAAGTTCAAAGCACATTGGCCGAGAACCTTAAAGGATTTCTAGTTTTACTCTGACACCTCACTATTCCTAACATTTTTGTATAAGTTTTGGGGTTTTTTGTTTTTTTTTTAAATTTTATGTGTATGAGTGTATTGCCTGCATGTATGCAAGTGTGCCCATGCTGTGCAATGTGCTCAGATGCCAGAAGGGGGATCAAATCCCCTGGAACTGGAGTTACAGACAGTTGTGAACCACCATATGGGTGCTGGGAATCAAACCTAGGTCCTCCGCAAGAGCAGCCAGTGTTCTTAACCGCTGAGCCATCTATCCAGCCTGTAAGTTTCTGTTTTGTTGTTTGTTTGCTTGCTTGTTTGCTTGTTTTGTTTTGTTTTGTTTTAAAAAAGGGGTTTTCTAAAGGGTCAGCAAGATGGCTCAGCAGGTAAGGGCACCAAGCCTGACTACCTGAGTTTGATCCCTGGACTCCACATGGTGGAAGAAAAAAAATGACCACAAGGTGTCCTCTGACCTCCACTCACATGCTGTGGGATGCACACACATAATAGATAAATGCAAACAACAACAACAACAACAACAACTGTAAGTTTCATTGCATTCTTAATTAACAGAGGGATATGGTACCTCTCCTAAAGCCATCGTTTCTAAAAACGATCTATTCATCACATGAAAGGATGATGATAATAACTCCATGTTTAGTTGATAGTTATGATGGCCAGGTCTTGATTATCAAGCCCACTGCTGACCTTTATGGCCCATTCAGAAGTACATGGCCCAAATAGCAAAATTCAGGCTGGATTTCACCCCGCCTGGCCATCTTGGGGTGTCCTTGTGCAGAGAACCACCAGCAGTCTTTTGTGTTGAACCTGTTGTGAATCACACCTCCAGAGAGGAAACCATAGCTCACTGTGGCTAAATAGCTTTCTGGAGATCAGTCATCTGGTATGGTACAAATTCTGGAATTCAACTCAGGTCTGGCTCCAAAGGCAGTGTCCTTACCTCATAAGCCTTAAACATATAGCACAGACTATCTTTATACAGTCCTGTATGATCCATTAAAACAAGGATTAAGCATGGCACACTATGTTCAAATAAATTTAAACTGGTTTAAAATATTTTCAGAATTGGGTTGGGGAGAGAGCTCAGTGGGTAAAGCACTTGCTTTGCAAATGTCAGAATCTGAGTTCACTGCTGGCCAGGCACAATAGCACATGTCCGTAATCCCAGACCTCCAATGGCAAGATGGGAAACAGAGACAGGAGAATCCCTGGAAGCTTGCTGATTGACCTCACCTGGTGTGTACAGCAGTGACGCGAGAGACTCTGCCTCCAAAAGACGGAAAGCAAGGACCAACGCCTGAGGCTGCCCTCTTACAGCCACAAGTGCAATGGCAAGTGTGTACTCTCACATATGCAAGCGTGCACACACACATACATACACCCCCCATATACACAAAGATAAAAAGTAAATATAAATAAACATTGCAATATATATTAAAATAAGAGGCAGAGTGAATTGCTAAATTCTTGTCTTCTTGAGATAAAAAAGGTTGTATGATAACAAAAATTGTTTTTCAATGTGTTACAAAACATTAAGATTCTACTTTGCATTATGCCAAAGGCACCTGAATCTCATTCTTTACCTCTTGCCTCTCCTCCTATTCTAATCTCCAACTCCCACCCAAATTCCAGTCACACAGAATGAGTTGTGGTTCCCAGAAAGCAAGCATCTTACTCCAGGAAGTTTTCCTGCTTCTTATGCCCCATTTATAATACGTATCTCTCTAATGTATTCCAGTAAGGCCCATGGGCTCTTCCTTGGGATTTATCCCACTGTCCTAGGGCTGACTCTGTACTTTGTTGTTTTTCTTTATTTCTCAGATTTGGGCTATCTTATCTGCCCTCGCAGATTCTCCTACCCTGGCATCTGCCTAATAGACTAGGTGTTTAATAAGGGCATTCTGAATAAAAGAATGGAAGAATTAATGAACGGCAAAGAGTATTAACAAAAAGTGGAACATGGGGAACATGAAATTTGGAGTGACCTGAATTTGTGTTCCCAGGCCATGGTCACTCATATTAGCACCAGAATAAACTACTTATCCCCTTTAGGGTGACAGTTGTGATTTTGCAATGACAATTAGGGCATGCAACATGGGGCCCTGGGAACGATCCACTTCTCACCAGAGGACTCACTTGGATGGAAGAAGGTACTGGCATGGGCCAGTCACTCTCAGGTGTACCATGGTGAATTCTTTCCCAGGTTCGCTTCAGACCTCCCTTGGTTTGGTTGATGGTCCATTTGTTTATCCTGAGATGGTTGTTTAAAGATGCTATTTGGTAAATAACTTTTTGGCTGGGCATTGCATGACATGGGTGCACTTAAATACACACAGGCAAAACATTTATACATGTAAAATAAAAATAATAAATAACATTTAAAAATTAAAAAAAAATAACAGTCAAGTATAGGTGAAGAGGACCTTAAATCCAATCAGAAGGTGGTTGGCTACTTCCATAATATTTGTGCCACTATTGCACCAGTGGATAGTCTTGTCAGGCCAGTCATCATTGTAGCTCACAGGGTTCACAACTGAATAAGGCTGATGATTACTTTTCTCTCTCATAGCATGCATAGTACCTTCTAAAAGCTAGCCAAGTAAGATGAAATTTCAAGGTCAGTACTAGTTTGATTGCTCCTTGATTGTTCTATGACTCATGTATATAGCATCTTCAGCAATAGGGTCTTACTGTCACGTTCTGGTGAGTAACCAAGAGCAATGACAATAGCCAGTACTGTTTGAGGGTCTATGGGACCTCATGATCAACAACTCCAAAAGAGGGAGTCCATTCCTGGCACTGGGATTTTGTATTTGCTAGCCTGTGGTATCTGGTAGTACCACTGAACTTCCTTCACAGGAAAATTCCATTTTAGCTCTCATCAGAGAATCTTTTTGAAGTAGATAGGAATTAGCACAGAGACTCACAACTAGTCAACATACAGAGAATAAGAACCACAGAGTGCTCATCTTTAAATGGGACATCTATATCACACCCTTTCTTCCACAGGCTCATCACAGAAGATGGGGCAGAAAGATTCTAAGAGCCAGAGGCAGTGGATGAATATAAGGAAACTGTTGTCTGAACACAACAGGGCAGTTGCATGCATGAATCCACAGTGTTTGTGTCAGCATGCATAAGACCTGTGTAAGTCCAAGCCAAACCAAAGCTCAGCATGGATGGGGCAGGTGGGCCCCAGCCCTAGCTGAGGACCTACTGACAATCAATAGCTACCGGGAGAGAGAGGGCCAGTTTTCTTTAAGGGTGTGATGCCTGGTAGTTCGACTAGGCTCAAAGGGATGAACCTACACCAAGGAGCATTTGGGGAACACAAATTAGATGTGACGTGCCTTTAAAAAGAAAAATGATAGAGGACATGAAGTTGGGTGGTTATGGTGGTTTAAATGAGAATGTCCCCTATAGGCTCTAAGCATTTGGACATTTTGTCCCTAGTTGGCGGTGCTATTTTGGGAGGTCTTAAAAGGTGTGGTCATGCTGGAGGAAGCACCTCACTGGGGGCGGGCCTAGAGAGTTCTTAAGCCTTGCCAGATCTCGAGTCACTCTCTCGCTTCTTGGGCCTGCATGAAGACGTGAGCACTCTGCTTTCTGCTCCTGCCCCAGCCACCTCCTGCCACCAGGCCTCCCCTCCATGACGAACTGTAATTCCCCTGGAATCGTAGGCTCAAATAAACTCTTCCTTCTATAAGTTTCTTGGGTAAGTGTTTCTATCACAGCAACAGAAAAGTAACTAATACAGTGTAGTAAAGTGGAGGGTGAAAGTGGGGGGAAGTGTCTGAATATGATTAAAACCATTATATGAAAGTCTCAAAGAATCAATAGAGTATTTGTTAATGGAATTTAGTATTCTACAGCAAGAATTATAAGAGTGTTAATCCTCTTATTAACTGATAAGAAACCATGATAAGCACCTGATTCACTTTTAGTCCATGCCCCTACTAAGGCTTAAAAGGGCTGTATCTCTTCTTTGAATCCATAGTCTTCCCCTCTTTTTCCTGTCTAACCATCCTCTAAATTTGGCAGTTGATACGTAAGTTACTACAGTTGGGGTTGAGTTACAAACAACCTATAAAAAGGCAAGTCTTGGGTACAGAATTTATTCCAACTTTGGTCCATCATGATACACAATGCTTCTCCCCCTCTCCCACCAAGCTCCATGTCCCATAGGCCACCACGTAGCGACTAAATTAATGATCCCCTTTACCTCTGGTTGTCAGTTCTGCTCATTCATGGGAGGAGGAGGGAGCGCTACAGAGACCTCTCCTCTAGCAGGAGGTTGGCAGGAGGGAAGAGAATGAGGTATGTGGTTATTCATTCCCGGCTCCCTCCCTGTTTGGTCACTAAGGGTTGTGTCCTGTATTAGGCCACAGCTCCTTGCAGGCACCCCACACACAGGCCTACAGGTCTTCCTCGGGGCCCTGACTGTTCTCTTCCCTTTCCCCTTTAGTAGAGGGGTATTATGCCTTGCAGAGCCACTGGTCCAAGAGTTCCTGGCCCACACCTGTGTAAACAGTCCTTTATGAATTCCCCTTAATAACCTGGCTTCCTGAATAAGGAACCTGCTTCCTGCTAGGGCTCTGCATGGTACACAGCTGATCCCATCTGGGGCTCCATGAGGCTTCTTGTAGTGCTGGCTGGAGCTTCATAAGCCCTAGGCTCCTTGTTAATCCTTTTAATGGGGGCTTCACAATAATGTTCCTAAAAAGTTCAATCTTCCCCTCTGTGACTGATACCCAGTCTCTTTCCTGGATCTCAGACCTAGAAAGTCTTGGGGTTGTTTCTTTCCGTAGCCCTCAGCCCACGACTTTCTGAGGGCAAATGCTTTAGAACTAGATTCTGCAAGCATTTCCAGCTTCTTTACACTTTTGTGTGTTTTCCTGTATACATCTTTCTGCACTCTTCCTGGGGAATTTTCCCCTTTCTTCATGGTAGCTCTCCTGTCATCTCCCAACTAAAAAAAGCAGAATTTCCTCCTTGGGTGCTATAGCACTGGGCTCGCACACCTCCAGTGGCACTCGCCAACCTCTGTGTTGAACAGTTCAATTTGTAAAATGTTTTACCTACCTATGAGATGATAATGTCGTGCTCCCTGAGACCTGGGTTCGGCAACTCCTCCAACCAAACATCGTGCCTCATAGCTCATCTGTGTTCAAAAGCACATGTTAGATGGATGGATGGTTGATGGACAACTGAACATTCTTCACTGCTTCATCCTGGGTGCTGTTGGGATTCTCAGCTTTAAGAGACCTGTCTACTGTTTCACTCTTATTCATCAACTTCATTTGAGTAAAATAGCACCTTCAAATTGTATTTCTCATCAGTTGTTTTCAACTGTTGGAGCACAAAGGAGGTACAGTTTAACACAAAAGTTTTTATATTAGCATTCTGAAAAACGTTTTAGTTTTCAGATAAACATACTGATACTTGAGATTACAATTGCACTAAAAATTTCAGTATCACATTCTATGTCTTTTTCATCCTGAAGATATTTAAAGAAAGGAATAAATCCAGATTGGTAGAGAATGCACTAGTCAAATTGTATTGCTTTGCATAAAGTAATGTGCCTGAATGTGTTCTGTGTGTTACACTGCAAATGCATTTTAGATATGATCCTGCTCTCGTTCTATCCCATGCCTTAGTTTTCAAATAGAATATGATAAGCCCTAAGGAAAAATTGTTCAACATTTGACCATAAGGACTCAGTACTATCATATTCTGCTTATTTATCAGAAAATGCTGTGGGTGGTAAGTTTATGAAAATGACCCATGTCCCATCAAGTACAAGCTGTACATAACTGCAAAGATGTCTACAAGGCATGAGTTAGCAGCTGGTAAAAAATTAAATTTCTATTCACATTCTCACATGCATGCATCTGCACACTTTTTGAAACTATTTTTAATTCCCTTTAAAACTAGAAACAACCTGACTTTACTGAATTCGCTGAACCTGATTTTGATAACTAAATTTAGCTATTTTCAGGCTCTGCTACCATTTCCTTCCAAAAACCCTTCCCATGAACTCTCTCTGTGGTTGATTTTCACTGGGTTGTTATGAGACATGTTGATATAACAGCAGATTTCTGGACTCCTTCACTCTTGGCTCCTGATAGACCTGTGGGTTTGTGTTGAGTCTCTGTCGTGGTGCTGTGGGACTCATACCTTGTTCGTTCATTGTCTCTGGTGGTTTCTTCAGCAAGATTGCCAGTGCTGTATATTTCTATCAAATAGGCCCTTCAAGTAAACCATTTGGTTCTACCTTGAGGAGAAATACAGCGGCAAACTCTGCCAGACCCAACAATCCATGTGCTGAAATATTAACTGAAAAACAGAAAAGAAAAACACACTGTTATTAAATGGCATTACACTGAACCATTTTCCTTGGTAGGGAGGGGGTGCTTGGTTTGGTTTTGGTGCCTTTTTTACTTCTTGAATCTTCTGTTCCTGATCTGGGTATTACGTGGCTCCATGTGTAAGCATCTTCCCAGCTGAGTGTGGAGACAGCACAAAGGAAGCAACTACTGTGTTTATGAAGACTATAATGACGCTCCAAACACAGTAGCATACTCAAATACTTTTCTTGATATCATCAGTTCATATACATTGAGTTCCTGCTTCTCCTTTGCCATGTACAGCATAGAGCCTCTCAGAAAACAGGAACTACTTCTCATCACTTAAGTCTCAGATCAACTGTCAACTCAAATGCCTAAGCTCTTTCCTGACTACTTACGTCTATGTACACCAACCCCCAAGTCATTCCTTATTGTAAATTCATCATAGTCCTTACCACTACCTAACAAATAAATGTGATACATATTTTCCATTTTTAGCCTTGACTTGAAGATAATAGAACAACAAACTGAATAATAATTAGACCATAAGTGGGGGGAGGAGTCAAATTAGCCTTAATAGAATTTCGTAGATGAAAATCATATGTTTTGCTATCTTATGTCGGAATGCTCTGCTAAGACGGACAATCCTCTGAGAAAGTTATTTACCTACATTACAGAAAAGTATGATTGCAGAGAGGTTGTGTTCATATAACCAAGTAGACACTGTCCACACTTTTTTTCTTATTCCAAAGCAATGACAAAACATGTTGTATTGCCTCTGGGGTGCTATGAAAATTGAATGCAAATGAATATCAGTAAATACTGTCATGATGTCGATAGAATTTTCCTCTGTACCTCCCTATTGAAACAGATACTTTCATATAAATTTGAAGAATGAATCTTATGTAGTTGGTCAGAGAAAGGAAATTCTTCAGATCGGTATCTCAACTTCTGACACTTTACTGAACCTTCCAATTCTGGGATTATGTATGATCATTATATATTCTACTTCAGTGTGACATTCATCTCCTCATTTAACAAATATTCATAGATTCCCTTAATATTTTCCGACAGTGTTAGAAGTGTCGTTTCTTAGCAGTAAACAAAGACCTAGCACTTTTGGTCTGTTCAGCTCAACAAGAAATAAAGACATTAAATAGACAAGCACAGTAACCATGGTGGATTATGATGCCTGATGTAAAAGAAACATATCCAGGGCTGGAGAGAGGGCTCAGCGGTTAAGAGCATAGCCTGCCCTTGCAGAGGAGCCATGTTCAATTCGCAGAACCCACAAGGCAGCTACGATCCATCCTTAACTCCAGTTCCTGGAGACTCCGAAGCCCTCTCCTGACCTCCGTGGCATTGCACAACATGGGTGCACTCACATACATGCAGGCAATACACTCATATACATTTAAAAAAAAAAAAAGAAAGAAACATATCCTGTGGTGTGAGGACACCCAGAAGGGAATCTGCTCTCCCCTAGGTTTGGGAATTTTCTCAAAGGAAGCGTTTGAGTTGCAATAGGAAATGGCCAGCTATAGGCTAGGGGATGATGTGAACAGGGGAGAGAGAATGTGGTCTCATGAGGCCAGCCTTGTCTACATAGGGAGTTCCAGCTGGGGCTACAGGGAGACCCTGTTTCAAAAACCCAAATGAAACAAAAAGCAGAAAGAAGAAATAAAAATTTTGTATTACAGGTTTAAGAAAATGTCTTTCAGATCTTGCACTGATTTTTGCTGAAAATGACCAAATATACCTGGTTTAGGGTTATTTATAAAGCTATATTTCTAAGAAGTTCCTCTGAGATAAAGCATGGTATTTATTTTTATTACCTAGTTATAGACAAAATCAACAATAGAAAATAGGCTTATGGTACTGTTAAGCATTTTGTGCCAAAATTTCAAACTTGTTCTAAATTAATTTTGGTATTCCAATCTAAGGAATTAAATATCATTAACAAAGAAATCTACAAGCACAGGAAACTGACTATTGGGATGAACCTAAATATTTCTAACTAGACACTCTTGGAGACCTAATTCTTTTCAAAAATATCATTGAGAGCTTTCAAAACTATCTTCTTATCGTTTCTGAAATGATATTTTTAGGCACAAAGCAGGAAAGGACAACTAAATACGCAAGGTATTGACCACTTCTCTTTTTTGAAAAAAGATTTATTTATTATGTATATGTGCATGCGTGTATTCATGTGCTTCAGCTGCATACAGGTACCTGTGGAGGCCAGAAAAGGGCACTGAATCCTCTGGAGCTGAAGTTACAAGTGATTGTGAGCTGCCCAGTGTGGGTACTGAGATCCCAGTCCTCCGCAAGAGCAGCAAGTGCTCTTAACTGTTAAGCCATCTCTCCAGCCCTATACTGGCCACTTTTCAAATGTGCTTGCTGGGATCTGGTTCTTTATACAATTCTGAACTGATCATTTGCCAAATCAATAATGGAGAATAAATAGCTTGATCATTCTGTTTTCCTCAACAGTTGTAAACCAAGATGGCCAGCCTCTCATTGAAGGAAAACTTAAAGAGAAGCAAGTCAGGTGGAAATTCATCAAGAGGTGGAAAACTCGTTATTTCACACTGGCTGGAAATCAACTTCTGTTTCAAAAAGGGAAATCTGTGAGTTCTCTGGGATGTTTTACATTTCAGTTTTTAAAGTCTTATCTTCACCAATCACCTAGATTCAATTAAACATCTGAATTTTTTTCCTTCTGTATTTTAAAATCTTACCGTATTTATTATGTTGTTACAAATGTCCTGTTGGGCCAGCAAGATGGCTCAGAGGGTAATGGACCTTGCCACCATGCCTGATGATCTGCATTCCATCCCCACAATTCACTTAGTCGAAGGAGAGAACCAACTCCTGCAAGTTGTCCTCTGGCCTTCACACACATGCTGTGGCATAAATAAATAGTAATTGCAAACAAAAAAAATTCAATGTTTCTTTGGTCTGTGAATTCCTATATTAGTTAGTTCACTGTCTTTCTGTGTGTTATGGAAATAACATGAGTGCGTGCGTGTGTGTGTGTGTGTGTGTGTGTGTTCTGTATTTCTGTGGGTGCACATGCACATAAGTGCATGTATAGAGGCTAGAGGTTGATGTCAGGTGTCTTCCTCAATCACTCTTTACCCTATTTTTTGAGACAAGAGTCTGTCACTGAATTTGGAGCCCATCGATTCAGCTTGGCTGGCTGGCCAGTGAGCTCCATGGCTCTGTCTGCCTCCATTCACCATCTCCCACCACTCTCACCCCCCATGCTAGGGTTACAAAGTGCATCACAGTCCCTTGCTGGCTTTTACGTGGGTGCTAGGGATTTGAACTTGGGTCCTTATGCTTGCTTGCATGGTGCTTTACTGACTAGGCCATCTTCACAGTTACATTTAGAGGTAGAAGTCCCAGGGAAAAGGACAGTAGACAAGGAGGAAGGAAGGGGGGGAGGGGGGAGGGAGGAAGGAAGGAAGGGAGGAAGAGAGGAAGGAAGGAGGAAAGAAGGCAGGAAGGAAGGGAAAAGAAAGAAAGAAAGAAAGAAAGAAAGAAAGAAAGAAAGGGGGAGGGGGAGGGAGAGAAAGAAGGAAGGAAGGAAGGAAGGAAGGAAGGAAGGAAGGAGGAAGGAGGAAAGAGGAAGGAAGGAGGAAGGAAGGATAATTTAAATAGTTTTATAGTCAGCAAAGCTCACTTTTGATTAGGGAAGATATTACTCTTTTTTATTCATTTGATATTCAGTTTAAAAGTAGAAAATAATTCTGTTAGATGTATTCAATATTAATTTAATGTGATTTGACCCTAAACTAGGGTGCTCAGTAAATATCTAGATTCTGAATTTTCACTGGGATTCCTCTGAAATAACATTCGTTTCTAAATGATAATGCATTTATTTCTTTTCAAAATAGATTTATTTATTATTAAGTGCTACTCGTGTATGATGGGAGAATGAAATCCCGACCCAAGTCTTGAAGGATGAGCACAACAGCGAGCTTTTACTTGGTGTTCATTAAGTGCCACCTTTGGTGGCCTCAAACCACCCTCTCGAGGCAGTGCTATTATTTTTGCCATTTTAAAGATGAAAACTCTGAGGCTCAAAGATCCTGTCTCATCTAAGGAAAGAGCCAGTAAAAGGAAGAAGGATAAGACCAGATCCAAACTTGGGGAACACAGCACCAAATGAGGATGTTCCACCGTTTCCACCTTACCCTTAAAACAGAGCCCTTGCTAAACTATGCTGCCAGGTGATCTCTAATGACGCAGAACTAATAAGGCACAAACAGATATAAAAGGATTTATAGGAATTGGCACACACAATTATGGCCTTCAGAAAAGGCCTTCAATTTGCCTTCAGAAAACTGGAGAGCCAAGAAAACAGATGGTGCAATCCAGCCCAAGACCAAAGACTAGAGAATGGGGAAGATCAAGCTGTCACTCCCAATCTGAGGGCAAGGCACAAAACTGGGAACAGGTTTGTAAGGGGGATGTGGAAGTCCTGGGGGCCAAAGGCCCAAGAACAGGAGTCTGAGGTGAGGAAGGCATGCTTCTCAGCTACAACAGGAAAAGCAGAACTTTACCCTTCCTTGCGTTTCTTTGTTCTGTGGAGCACAGATGGAACAACGCCCACCCACAGTGGTGAGAGTGGACTCAAAGGTTGATCTCATCTGGGACCACTCAGGCACATTCAAACATCACATTTTAAGAGCTGTGTGGAGACCTATTAGCCCGGTCAGGTTAACCAGTGCCTTTAACCATCACATAAACTAAACTGGGTCTTAGGAATAAATGAAAGGAGTTAAAGTAGTTACAAATTACAAATCTCTCTGGAAAAATGTACCATATCATTAGAGTTCTCACTTGGAACATTTTACTCAAGAATGAAATATTTCATCTGATTTATGATGAATTCTAATCAAGTGTTCCTTGAATAAGACCTCAAAGTGATTTTTGAATGAACAGAAAGTATTTTGGGGGGTCTGGAGAGTTGGCTTAGCAGTTAAGAGCACTTGCTGCTCTTCCAGAGGACCCGAGTGAGGTACCCAGTACCCACTTGGGCATCTCCCATCTGACTGTGGGTTTTTCTGTAGCTAAAAATCTTTCCACAATGAAAACATAATAGCGTGTTCAATTTAAACAGTTATTGCAAGTTTAAAGAAATATTTTTTGGCATGAGTTCATATGGAAGCATTTTTAAAGTGTTCAAATGACCATCTGAATTTCCTGCATTTACTCAAGAATTCTAGAACAGGGTGATCTCTCAGATCCCTTAGGACAAAAAGAGAATTAGTCTTTAAGAATATTCCCAAGCATTCAAATAAAGATCTATTTCTCTTTCTTTCTTTTTCTTTCTTTCTTTCTTTCTCTCTCTCTTTCTTTCTTTTTTCCCCTCCTCCCTCCCTTCCTCTGTCCCTCCCTCCCTCCCTCCCTCCCTTCCTTCCTTCCTTTCTTTTGACAAGATTTCCCTGTAACACCAGCTGGCCTGGAACTCACTATGTAGACCAGGCTGGCCTCAATCTCACAGGAACCTTCCTGCCTCTGCCTCCTGAGCCCTGGGATTAAATGTGTGCACCACTACACCCAGTTTAATTAGCATTCTCTTTAAGTACTACAGTAACTGTTTTCTTCATCAGTTCCAATGTGTCAGTTTCTGTCCCATAGACTGACTTCAACAGTCATTTTATTACCATCAGACACTTAATAACAACCAAATGGTGCTATTAAAGTATTGTCTAGAGTAGATATCTTCAAATTTTATCCTGTATACCCCCTAAAAGAATTTTGAAAAGAATCTATGCAATGCCTTGTAGCATTTTAAATTTCATCAACACATTTATAAATTTAAAGAATTATCATTTCTGTTGAATTATAAATATTGATATGTTAAAATAAAAATAACATATCTCTTCTTCAAATGTAATTAATGGAATACCATTGAAGTATTTTAGTGTCTAACATCACATACCTTTCCAAAAAAATACATAAATTAACTGTTCTTTAATAGAGATATTTGCATTGTTTCTTTTTCCCTTGAATTCCTATTTCTGTCTTATGTCTCCATAGCAATTTATCCCATGCCCACCCACATATACACATATCATTTTTTAAAGATTTATTTTTAATTATGTTTATATGGAGGGTATATGCACATGAGCACAGGTGTTAGTGGAGGCCAGAAGAGGGTGGCAGATCCCCTGGAGCTGGAGTTTCAGGCAATTGGGAGCCTCCTGATATGGGTGCTGGGAATTCGACTCAGGTCTTCTACAAAAACGGTACACACTCTTAACCACTGAGCTGTCTTTCCAGCCCTGTCCTATCATTTTTCACTTTAATAAAATCATGTACAAAAATTAAAATGTTTTAACTTCTGTGACCATAAACCTCTAAGTATTCATTTTTTCTGAATAACTTCTCTTTTTAAAGTTATCATTTATGGAAGCTGGTGTGGTGGTGCACACCTTTAATCCCAGCACTCGGGAGGCAGAGGCAGGCAGATCTCTGTGAGTTCAAGGCCAGCCTGGTCTACATAGTGAGTTCCAGGACAGCTGGGGCTACAGGGAGACCCTGTCTCAAAAAGACTGAAAAAAAAAGGGGGGCGGGGGTTGGACTAGGAAGATTGCTCAGTGGGTAAATGCTTGCTGCACAAGCATGAAGACCTGAGTTTGGATCTCTAGCACCTATGTAAAAGCTGAGCACAGTGGCAATTGTCTATAACCCCCATCCTGGAAGGCAGAGATAGGTGGATCCCAGGGGCTTGCTGACCTGTCAGTCTAGCTAAGTGATGAGCTTTAGATGTAGTGAGAGACCTTGTCTCAAAAAATATAAGGTGGAGAATAATAGAGAGACACCTAATGCTGACTTTTGGCTATATGCATGCACATGCATATGCACAACAGTCATACACACACACACACACACACACACACACACACACACACACACAAAGATGATCTTTTTAAATTAAATGAGTATAGAGAAATTAAGTTGACCTGATTGGTGGATACTTCCCGAGAATCAGTATGTTGAACTGTGGGTTGTTTGTTCAGTGTTCCTAAGCTTTTCAAGCTAGACACACAAAATAGAAAGCTTAGGGTGGATGAGAAGAGTGCTTTTTCATTACAAAACAGGGGAAAAGACCATTGCAAGGAGGGTATAGGACAGGAGAGTCGGTGCAATGCTCAACCACAAGTACATATCCAGTGAACAAAATGTATTCAGCAATCCTGAAAACCTGAAATTCCTTTAAGACATTTTTATCTTAAAATCATTCATATAATCCCAATGTGATGGCTCTGGTGTTAGAGAGATCCCTAAACGTCTGCTTTCCTAAACTACAAATGTAACATCATTAAATATTATGTACAGATCAAGCATGCTTCTAAAGCTGCAGAGATTTCAAAAAATTTCTCAGACATTGGGACCTTGTTTATTCAATTAAGGCTATGGCAAACTTTTTATCAGAAGTAACAAAGGAAAACTCAATACTAGCCTCATAAACTAGCTGAAATTTTGAGGTAGTAGTATTCCAAGTTTCATTGTTATATTTTGCTGTATTGATAATGTTAATATAAATGAAAAAATGACCCAAAATCAAAGAACTATGAGTTTAGCATTTTCCCAATTTCATTTGATAATAACTTTCAGTATATAGGCTCTCTTGTGCTGAGTAACTTATGTTACTACAGCAGAGGCCCAATTTCTTACTCTTTCTGTTGTTTCAACGACTCTTGGGAGCCTTAGCACCCAAACCAGAAAGGTCTTGAGCCCTAGGAAATAGAAAGGATCTGGCCCTCCTGGAAAATTCCAAGAGGCAGAGATCCAGGCTGCAGCAGGAGCCAGCTTATGATCTTTCCTTTTCCATGCATTTCAGAAAGATGATCCTGATGACTCCCCAATAGAACTCAGCAAAGTGCAGAGCGTGAAGGCTGTGGCCAGGAAACGCCGAGACCGCTCCCTTCCTCGGGCTTTCGAAATCTTCACAGACAACAAAACCTATGTTTTCAAGGCCAAAGACGAAAAGAATGCAGAAGAGTGGTTGCAGTGCATCAACGTAGCAGTTGCCCAGGCGAAAGAGAGGGAAAGTAGAGAAGTGACCACATATCTGTAAGGGGCAGACACACTGCCTGCCTCACATGACTCTGCGTGACTGGCACGGCCAAGGTCAGCAGAAAGGGAAAAAGCCACCAGGACATGCTGGTTCATACTAAATACCAGCAAAACCATTATCCCTAAGAAGAAGGGCCGAAATGGCAGGATTCTCAATAGACTCTGTGTCCTTGCCTTGTTGAATTAACTCTGAGATCTTTGTCTGGCGTGCACAAGAGAAACTACAGAGTTCAATCACAGCACGTGGAGCCAGGAGGGGAAAAGTTATGCATGAAGGAACTCCTACAGATGTATCATTTAAAAATTTAAGGAAACAGTGAATGATGCCTGCATAACCTACCCTGAGGAAAGACCAGAATTTCTGAAGAAAATCAGTCTGTCAACATATTTGGAGGGAAAAAAAAAAAAAACCTAAGGAAAAGTTGAACTCATGTACACTGAAGAAAACCATTAAACTTGCATTTATCTTTCCAATAGGAAAGATGCTAAATGCTAACACATGGTACAGTGGTTCTCTAAGTCAGTTATATAATTAAATGTCTGTCTTTTACAGCTACTTATTTAATGATTCCTTTTAGGCTCTTATAATCTAATATTTAGATATCTGGATATATTCTCTGCTCAAGGTAGTAAGTATAGATAGAATAAACATAGACATTTTCTCTACTTTTCAAATGTGTGCTAGCTCTCTTAAAGATTTTTTTATTAAAGTTCTATTTTTTCTTCTCTGTGTTAAACCTTACAGCTGTCCAACTTATAAACATTTATTGCTTTTGCCATTACCCATATATATAAAATTTTTAATTAAGTTGTCATAGGCAGAATTCTAAGGTGACTTCCAGTGACCCATGCCCTGGAATCATGTTCCACCCCTTGAAGGTAGAGGAGGGGACCTAAAGTTTGCTTCTAACTTAGATAATATGTCAAAGATGTTGGGACAGTCTCTCCCATGACTGTGTTATAGTATGAGAGAAGTAAAGAAACTCAGCAGAAAAAATAAGGTCTCTAATCAAATGGCTTTGCAATAATAAAAAGAGATATCCTGGATGGCCTGGCTAATCAGCTAGGTTCCTTAGAAGAGATCAAACATGTCAGACTCTCCTGGTGATCCTGAATAAGCTTACTGCCACGGTTCTACAGCAGCAAAGCAATGAATTTTGCCAATAACCATGTGACACTGGAAGAACAGTAAGCTTCTGATAAGAGCCTAGCCCGGCCCAGCTTGACTGCAGCTTTGAAGTACACTGATCAGAGGATCCAGCTAGGACAGACTCTTGGCCCACAGAAACTTTGTGATAATAGAGTTGCTTTAAATGCAAACTGTATGGTGATTTGTTATACCATGATTAATTCATATAAAACCCTACTTGTAATATATGAGGGGTAACTTTTCCTGTGAAATTGATTTCTCATGTATTCATATAGAATCCTAGAGACCGTAAACTGTCACTATGCTGACACTGCTGTTAACTCACTGGCACAGGAATAGAAAAGGGGTCACATTTGAGGAAAGACAATTCAATTTGAACACGCAAAGGCTGAGGATATTATGAGTCACAAAAGTTATTACAAACTGGAAATAGAGTTCAAGAGGTCAAAATTTGGAACCACTGCGTAAGTAGTGGTTGGTAAACATATGGAATTAGATGAAATTATTGAGGGAGAATAAAAAATGAAAGAATTGATGAGGACCCCTTGGGATACCAACACTTAAACAAAGGCAGGCTAGATTGGCTGATCAGTATTCAGAAATAATGTAGCCCAGGAGACAGGATGTTATGAAGGCTAAATTAATAAAGATTTTCAGAATGTCAACAATTTGGAATTCTGAAGACAAAGCTTTGCTTTCGGGAAGCAATTGAGGTCATTGGTAAGAACTTCATAGGAGAGATGAAGTGTCTTAGTTTCTTCCTATTGCTATGACAAAACACTCTAATCAATACCAATTTGGGGAGGAAAGGGTTTATTTTATCTTACAACACAGTTCATCACTGAGGGAACCCAAGATGGGAACTCAAGACAGGAACCTGGATCACAGACCATGGAGGAATGCTGCTTACTGGCTTGCTCTCCTGGCTCATGTTCAACCTGCTTTCTTATGCAATACAGGACAACCTGTGCAGGGGTGGCACTGTCCACAGTAGGCTAAGCCCTCCCAAAACACTCAGCAATCAAGAAAAATTCTCCACAGACATGGCCACAGGCCAATCCAGTGAATGCAATTCCCTAGTCGAGGTTCCCTCTTCCCAGGTGTGTCAAGTTGACAACTAAAGTTATCCAGCACATGGAGTAAAAGCTAATTCTCATTGTGTTGCAGTAATTGACCACCCTTTTTTTAAAGGTAGGGTTAAGGTGAAGAAGCTAGGATAGAGAAGTGTTTTCTTGGGGTATTTAGGTGAATACATCTTAAAGGGAAAATGGAGTTTTAAAAGTATAGATAAGAGGGGATGGAGAGATATCTCAGCAGTTAAGAACACTGGCTGTTCTTGCAGAAGACCTGGGTTCAAATCCCAGCACCCAACATGGCAGCTAACAACTATCTGTAACTCCAGTTCCAAGGATCTGACAGCCTCTTCTGTCCTCTGCGGGAATTGCACAACATGGGTGTACTTACCTACATGCAGGCAATACACTCATACACATAAAATAAAAATAAATAAATTTTTTTTAAAGTATAGACAAGGAAAGACAAGAGCAAAGTTGCTAGATGTGCTGCAGGCAATACACTCATACACATAAAATAAAAATAAATAATTTTTTTTTAAGTATAGACAAGGAAAGACAAGAGCAAAGTTGCTAGATGTGCTAAAAAAAGAATTAAAAGATCTGTACTGAGGGGCTAGGGAGTTGGCTCAGTGGGAAAAATGGCTTTCCCTACAAGCATGAGAACTGAGTTCAAATTCCTAGCCCCCATGTGAAAAACTTGGCATGGCTGTGGATGCCCTAGCCCTGGGGGGGTGCAGAAACAAGATGATCCAAGAGCTCCTTCCCAGCCAGCCTACCTGAAAAGGCAAGCTTCGGGCTCAATGAGAGACCCTGTCTCAAGGCAATAAGGCAGAGAACGGCAGAGGGGACACTTGATGTCCTGTTCTAGCTTCTGCCTACAAGTGCACCACACACTCATATGCATGCACCACAGCACACACACACACACACACACACACACACACACACACACACCAAACAACAGCAGAGGAGACACTTCATGTCCTGTTCTAGCCTCTCACACACACACACACACACACACACACACACACACACCAAACAACAGCAGAGGAGACACTTCATGTCCTGTTCTAGCCTCTGTGTACACGTGCACCATACACTCATATGCATGCATCACAGCACGCACATGTGCACACACACACACACACACACACACACACACACACATACTTTATTTGTTTAGGGAAATAATTCAGTAGAAGGCCACTGGGTCAGTTAGTAAAGAAATGACTGTGATTAAAATCAATCAACCAATTTATGAGAAGTCAGGTGTGGTAACATGAGCCTGTAGTTCTAGCACTCAGCAGGTGGAGTCAGGAAGATAAGAGTTCAGGCAGGGTCATCCTTCCCTACATAGTGAGCTCAAGGCAAGCCTGGGCTACAAAATGAATGAATCAGTGAATAAATAAATGAAACAAAGAGTTGAGATAGTTATCCTAAGTAGTTTTCACAGATCTTCAAAACTTATAAGATTAAGAAAATTTATTTATTTATTTTTATTATTTTATGTGTATGAGTGTATTGCCTGCATGTATGTAAGTGCACCCATGTCATGCAGTGCCTACGGAGGACAGAAGAGGGCATCAGATCCCCTGGAACTGGAGTTACAGATAGTTGTTAGCTGCTATATGGGTGCTAGTATTTGAAACCGGGTCTTCTGCAAGAACAGCCACTGTGCTTAACCACTGAGTCATCTCTCCAACCTCCTCCCCCCCACCAAAAGACACATCTTTCTTCAAGAAGTTTAATGTGGGGCTGGAGAGATGGCTCAGTGGTTAAGAGCACTAGTTGCTCTTCCAGAGGACCCAGGTTCAGTTCCAAGCACCCACATGGTGGCTAACAACCATCTCTAACCCCAATTCCAAGGGATATGACTCCCTCTTCTGGCCTCCGCAGGCACTGCAGAGACATGGTATACCTACATACATGCAGGCAAAACACTCATAGACATAAAATAAAAATAAAGTCAATCAATAAATATACATATAAAGAAGGTTAATATGTAGTTGAGACAGACATA